ATAGTTTATTCTTCTTCTTCGGAACATGACAAGATGACATTGCCGTGCCTGACAGATAATGCGCGAAACTTGTTAACATAGTTTGCATCGGTATGGAGCAAAGAGTTTAATTCGTTTTTTGTCTTAAAACAGACCTTCTATGGGAAAAACCGTTGATATTTTATCGTTACTGTTTTCACATTCAAGACGAAGGTTAACAGTGCTCGAACATAGGAGTTGACAATACTGGTGATGTCCGAGTCTTTTTTGACGTAGAGTCTCACTACGGGTACACCGAGACCCATTCATTGAATTGTTGACCTATACAACCCCCCAGAAAGTCAAGATAATGGGTCATCGGCGTTCTGTGCTTAAGCCGAGTCCATCATCCACTGGCGCTGTAAAGGGGATCTACTTACGTTGTTTTTAATTGATCACCTGCATCTGTATTACCACGTTTATGAGAATGAAGTAACCCGCACAGTGTCTGGCTGCGGAATCGAAGTTTCTTCATGCCAGTATTTCGAGAATTAATATGTAGATATACATTTTCATAAATTCGTGCACCCTCTCCTAATGCTGAAGTGCAATTGCCTCATTAAGACGATTGATAAAAAAATGTACAAAATTTACAAAGGTAACGATAGCATTGGTAAAGTTAAAATGGATTATTTCTAAATTTGCTGTCGATAATATGCTAACTGCTTTCCTTCTCAAAGCTCAGTTCGGTTGTTAGCCTTTCTTCCTTCCAAGGTTGACAAATGAGCACCACTCTTTGGGAAGAAAGCAGGAGACTGCACAGTATATTTGATGCAGTGGTTGCTGCACGGCTCTCTTGACTCTTCCTTGAAGAAAAAATAATGCATTCCTGATGGATGGTACAGAAATTGAGATGAGCCATTGATATTGATTTCAATCCAAAGAAAGATTGACGTTCTAACGGTTACAAACTTCATTTTCTTCCTTTTGCTCGTCAGATGAGTTTTTAGGATTCGATGGTAATGGCACAGTAAACATAGATGGTTTGGGTCTTTTTATTAGCGTAATAATTAGTTAGCGAATGACTCCGAGATTGCACAGCGTAAAGATTTCAGTTTCACGGCGTATTGCTCTTCCTTGCTCTTATTCCCACCTTGTCTATATGGCTGTGTAAACTGGCCACGTCTCCGTTGTATTTGAGCTTCTGCGGGGTCAGATACGCCTCGCATAATTTTTTCGGTTGTAGCCACCTCACAGTTATCACAAATGGTGTTTCAGTCGCTGATACTCCTAAATAAAATGCTATCTCAACTAACGATTGATTCGCCCAAAACCAGTTGATGCTTGATGTGATGATTTTGCTGTGCAGTTGCGTTGGACATATCCTGCGATATTTGGGCGATTGAACAGATGTCTGAGTCAGCAGAGCACTGGTTTTTATCAGTGATGGTTCGTCAAAAACAAGTTGTTTGTTCATTATATTTCTTTTTGACTAAGGAGACGAAAATTTATTTCTTGGCCATTGCACTTCAATTTTAAGGAATTTCTTCTTTCCCATGGACTGTGGGTAGTGTAATATTGTTTTTTAATTTCTCCGCGAAAGGTACTTCGGAATAAGTTGTTCGAATTTCCCACCCACCCTATCTTTTGTTGAACATTTGCCCTACAAGATGCTTTCTTTTGTTTATTGTATTAGGCTTCTTTTTTCTATGGTACAGCGACGGACACATTCTTGGTACTTATTGTCTGTAGTATGTGTTACTACTTCCGAGTACTCGCCTGAAATCAAATAAAGCGTCTTTCAGTCTTTGACGGATGTTAGCGAAACTGCGTCTCCAGCCTCCCGGCGATACTTGGTTTCGAGATCAGTAGAAGAGCCATCTCTTTTCAAACAGCCCATGTTCTCTCTTGTTGATTGGGTCATCCACCAGTAGGACAGTCACCGTTTAAGGTTCGTTCTTTCAGCAATATGCCATAGTTTTTGTTTGGGAATGTTAAATTGTTATGTGAAGGAACTTATGCTGCTGGAGCAAAACCTTTAACTATGGTTTGCAATGTTAAGACTTGCGACCCATCATCTCTTTTCACCCACTGCCCACTTAGAGTCCAGGTTAGGTAAAATGGTATTGCAGGGAAGATAGAGCGTGCATCCTTATTTATGAACTGCCAGTGCTTGTTTGGTAGGGCTCATAAAATGTGAAAATTATCTTCTCTAAACCAAGCTATAGCTACGAATTTTCAGATTCATGTTTGGGCTTGTGGCAATTATTAATATGAAAGTTGGGAATTGTCGTGGAAGCAGAATACATATCGCTAGAAAAGTCTCAAATTCGATGCTACAGAAAGATCTTATGAATGTTCTGTGAGGACCTGAAACTTGACGGATGTATCTTATTCATAAACTTAACATTCAACCATAGTCCTCTAAAGATCTACAGCATTTAAATATTGTTTCTGTTTGTTGACACCGTCATCTGGGATATCTATGTCAATTACAGAGTACTCAGATTAATTATGTATTTAAATATTACGGTACTTTGAATAACAGGGACAGTAATAAAAATCAGAAGCAGAGAAGGAGGAAAAAGGCTATTGATGTTACGTAATGTTTTCATGATAAAATATTTTGATGAAAACTGAGCATGAATCTTTTTCATCCTGACCGTCCTGAACTGAGCTGTGTACGTTAAGCTACCTCTACTCCTCGTACTCTTGAAAAGATTTTGCGAGAACGAGCGAAAACAAGTGGTAATAAGACCTTTTACCTTTAGAAAAATTATTGTGCTTTTGCTTATCGATTTGTCAAGGCTGAGTGGCACTGGACCCTATATAACGGATAAACTCTCTGAACCTTGTTTAACGGATACTAGAAGGTGTTTTGGGTAGAAAGTAATGGGATGGTAATAATTGGTGTTGCACCGTAATAATATAATAGATCGATATGACAGGACAGGAGTAAAATGAATTTATTATAGTCTCATGAATAATGCAATATTTTACTTTTCATTGTTATATTATTCTTAATCTTTGAGTTACATACTTTTTATTCATATTTAAATTCTGTTTTCTGCTGATAGCGGGGCCGGGTCATCGATTAAATTAGACTTTAAGACATTTTATCGTTCCGCTGTTCACAGTTTAGACTCCCTTACATCATCTAGGATTACATAGAGGCTCAAACTTTATTCTCTATTCCTAGATCATTCACAGGTTTTCTTGTGCTCCCAGAAGATTCTTAATAGTTAGCTGCAACATCACATTCAGAGCGTTTCAGATTTCAGTAATAATTAGCACAGGAGATTGCGTGTGTGCAGCACAAGCATTATCCTTGTTTTAAGAACGTTCTGAAAGGGTTCAAAGAACTGTTTCTAATCTATGACAGCGTACCGATAAACTGTTCGGCCACTGTTATTTTGTTCCTTTAATGCCCAGTTTTTCAGCAATTCCAGAACATGTACAGAAAAGACCAAATTATAAATAGAAAGGCTAGAGCGATGATGACGAAGACGAGCATTTGTACACAAGGCAGTACTCAGATTTTGTCCAAATAAATGGAATGTTTATTAAGAGTCAGCAGACTCTCCGAATCTTCAGCAGGCAAGCTAGATGTAGCGCTAGCCTGAATCTGAAAATTTTAAAAACTTTTAATTCTAAAATTTTAACGGTACAAAACAAGTCAAGAGATTTTACTGTCAGGCCGTGCCCTACAAGGTCACTCGATGTTTAACATGCTGTTCGACGAGAAAGTCGATTTGTTGATAGTTTGTTGATTTGTATTTCGTCCCTGTCACTGAAGTACAAAGATTTGTTTTGCTCATAGTCTCTGAGATGTATGCATACGTTAGTATATATAAGTAATGTTACTATAAAAAGTATTTAAAGGTACTTAAAAGTAATTTAAAATTTTATTTTGAATTCGACTCACTGTCTTAATTTAATTGTGATTATTCTTTTTCATTGTAGATGCGCGCCTGTCTGCAGTTGCCATTGATTTCGGAAGTGAATATATTAAGGTCGCTT